CACCGAAATAATTCAAGAGCGATGTCAATCCTTCTGCACAGAGCAGAAAGAGGTACGGTGATGCTGGGCAGCCTTGTCGAAGACCCCTTGAGGGGGTAAAAAAAGGAAGAAGTTCACCATTCACACGGATTGCGAATCTGACCGAAGTGACGCACTTCATGACGAGGCGAACAAACCCCACACAGAACCCAAGCTTCATCATGATCGCTTGCAAATAGTGCCATTCGACACGATCGTATGCTTTCATCATGTCCAGCTTGATGGCACACGTTGCATTCCCCCCTTCTTCCTCCTTCTCATGGCATGCACACTCTCATGTGCAATAAGTACATTGTCCGTGATAAGACGACCAGGGACGAACGCGCTCTTTTCAACACCGGCGATATCATCCATGCACTCCCGCATACGGTTAGCAATGGCCTTGGCAGCAATTTTGTACAGAACCGGACACAGAGAGATGGGTCGATATTGAGAAATACGCTGGGGGAAATGTACCTTAGGAATCAATGCAATAGAGGTGTCGTTCATACCAGTAGGTAATTCTCCCCCATTGAGAAAATCAAGTACCGCTGGAACAATGTCATCTTTGAGCAAACTCCAGTGGCGTTGAAAGAAGCCCGCCGTGAAGCCATCAACCCCCGGGGCTTTGGACGGAGCCATCTGGAAGAGGGCTCGGCGCACCTCCTCTTCTGTAAATGGCCTGCCTAGTTCGTCATTCATAGGAGGGGTCACCCGGGAAGGAACCACGCCCAGCAACTCCTCTATGGAATGAAAGCCTTGTGATGTATACAACTGTTCATAAAACTGCTGCACTTCCGCTCAATCTTCATCCAAATCACTACAGACCGTACCGTCCGCACGTACCAGATTTTCAATTTTGTTCGTACACTGATGTTGGGCAGCCTGAGCGTGGAAATAGCCAGTGTTCCAGTCACCCTCCCGCAACCATGGAACACGAGATCGTTGACGGAGCCAAATTTCTTCTTGGTGCAGGGCTAGCTTCAATTTTTTTGCCACTGCTTTCTCTTCGTTTGATGGCCCCCTTCGTAAAGATTGGGCACGCAGCCTGGACAACTATTCCCGCAACCTCCGAATCTTGCGAGTTAAGCTACCAAATTCCTTCGCGCCCAAGCCGCTAGGTTGCCTTGCAGCGCCGTGAGGGCTTGAACCACACCCTGTAAACCCTCTCGGCCCGCACCCCTTTGCCAAGAGTCCAGAACCAGCTTGTCATAATCCACATGTGTTTGCCACATGTCCTCGTATCTGAAAGGTTTTGGCCCTCTGGGTGCTGCCGAAGCCAGGTGTTCGCATAGATCCACGAATACAAAACAATGGTCTGACTCTGTTGTCACAATATGTCTCACCTTGATGTGCGAGAACATCTGTATGAGAGTAGAGTTACCAAAAGCTCGATCTAGCCGGGCTTTCACATTTGATCTCCCGGGCTGCATATTATCCCATGTGTACTCAGGTCCCGACCAGCCCAAATCATTAAGTGCACACTCGTCCGTTACTTCCCTAAATGCCCGCATTTGCCACTCCGGCCTAGGGCTTCTTGAGAAGTGTTCCGAACCACACAGGGTCTCGTTAAAGTATCCAATGCACATCCACACGTCATGGTGAATTGCATGCTGTGTCCTCATGAATCTCCAGCTATGATGACGATCTTCAGCTTTGGGAGCTCCATAGAAACCTGTCACTCGCCATTGTTTCGTGACATCACTTTTCTTCCGCACCACTAGATCAATATGGCCGGCACTATAACTCTTGAGATCAGCATCCAAGTCCGCAGACCAAAACATACCAATCCCCCCACTCAAGCCCGCGCTGCTAACTGCAAAGCAGCTCGCAAACCCTAGCAAGGTTTTCAAGCTCTCAACACGTTGAGCTGAAATTTTCGTCTCCATAACAAACAGGAGACCGGGCCCTTCCTGCTTCACTATGTTGCGAAGCTCGCGAACTGCCGCTGGGTTCCCAAGCCCCCGGCAGTTCCAGCTAAGACAACTCATTGGTCCCGGCGGGGCTGCTCCGCAGCTGCCGCCAAACAATCCGAGTTCTGAGAATTTGTGGGCGTAGGTTTCTTCTTCTTAGGCTCCGGCTCTATCCCGTTATCTCCTACCTCGCCCACCCTCTTGTCCACTCCAGCTCTAAAAACCACCATGGCATTGGTGGCCTCATTGTTCTGTACCTGCTCTGGGGTGGACACCTCTGTCATTGTGATCTGTCGATACACCTGCTTCTGTCCCTGAGGCCCCTCCTTCCTCTTGTACCTCTGCTTGTTCTTCTTAGGAGGGGAGACCACCTCAGGGTTATCATCCCTTTTTGCAGTCGCCGTGCGAGCTTCCTTATTACTGTTTTGACTAGATTGCTGTTCCTTGGACGAGCCCTCGCTGGACACTGCTTTCTTCTTCTCTTCCGGCGCCCTCAGACAAGTCTTGAATGGTAGATCACCGTTTTCATCTCTCGAGCCCGGCGTCGGACAGTGAAGATCCGAATGGCCCAAACGCCCGCATGAAAAGCAGAAGTTGGGCACCTGTTCATACTGAATATCATACCAGTCCCTGCTGCCTCTAGCCGCGGAATCAATCAAGATCCATCGCCGCAATGGCTTCCGGACATCAATGGTTACCCTGGCTCTCAGGAAACCACCAAAGGGGTCAAAATGAACAGTAGATGCGTTCTCATCAATTTGCCTTGCCACTGCTTTGCCCCTTACATCACTTCTCAGATTAAACGGGAGGTTTAGAACCCTAGCCCAAATCTGAAGTTTATCGAACCGTAACTCTGACGGCTGCATACTCTCCTTAAACTCCGTGAGAATCACAACATGTTTGCTCACATGCCATGGTGATTCGTCCCACACGCGATCGCGATCACGTTGGGTCTCAAATTCAGCCACGAAGATGTTCTCACCAGCCGAGTGGAATACCAGGCCTCTAGGGTTTCCCCAAGCCGGGCGCAAAGCGTTGGCGATCGTCTGGATATGCAATGAATTCCGGTGCAGGACCTTCCCCGCGATCGCCCAGACCTGCCTAGCGCTGTTGTCCACATCGTCCAAGACCAGCGGTGTTGCCTCCTCTTCCGTGAGATCAAGCTTCCCCATGGCTTCCTCCATGCGCGCCCTCGCCGTCCTAGGCGAGAGAGCCCCTTTGCCATTCGATGATCCCGGTGCCGCGGCCATCCGGGTTCCTCTGTGCAGCCCGCCGGTGAGATCGGTCGGCGGCCGCCGTTTTATCCACTCGAAACCCTAATCGCCTCCTGAGGGCTCCTAGTTTTCCGGGGAAAAAGGGCTTCTAATTTTCCTTTGAGTACTGTGTGTGGACTATCATCAGATGCTCAAAGGGCTCTGAAAATGGTCATCATGAATGGCTCGCCTTCGGGCCCACCAAATCGCCCATATAATAACGAGTACGCGCAGTATCCGCCGGTGGGAGGGTGTCCAGTAACCAGAGCATCCACAACTTGGGATCTGCGTCAAATAGTGGATCTTCGCACAGACCCAATCAAGCTAGCGATCGAACTGGGCTGGCCCATCTTAGAAGTTAATGAGTACACACATCCAGTTTTAGGAACATTCTAGAAAGTTTCATCCTAGTTTCTCCGGTTTTGGGAACATTCTAGAAGGTTTGTAAACCATTTTTATTGGTTTTTCGCCTTCTCATGGTTTTTTTACTAATTGTTTTTTTCTTTCTTTCCGTTTCTTCTTCTTTTCTTTTTTCTTTTTCTTTTTGTTTCAGTTTCTTTTCTTTATGTTTTTGTCCAAAAATTTCATGATGTCTTCAGAAAAAATGGGGATTTCAATAAATAATTCCGTTTAGAAACTTGTTCGCTAATTTCAAAGAATATTCATATTTCCAAATTTTGTTTCGAAGGTTGAAAACATTTTCTTGTTTTAAAAATTGTTCACAAATTTCAATAATTGTTCATGTTTTAAATTTTGTTTGGGAGTTTAAAGATAAATTCCGTTTCAATAATTGTGCGCAGTTTACGAAAAATGTTCATGTTTTCAAAAAATTTGTCCGATGTTTTTAAATAACATCTAGTTTTCATAAAATGTCTGCGTTCTGAATTTTGCTTTGGAACTTCAAAAAATGTTCCCATTTTAAAATGTTGTGTTTTCAAATTTTGTTCCAGAGTTTCATAAAATGCTCGTGTTTTCCAAAAAAAATAGAAATTTCAAAAAGTTCCCGTTTTGAAAAAATGTTCACGTGTTCATTTTTTCCCCGAGTTTGAAAAAATTGTTCATTATTTTCAAAAATAAAATCCCGTTTTTGGATTTTTTTAAAATCACAAATTAAAAAAGTGTTCACGTTTCATAAAACATTCTTATTTTTTGGAAACAATTTTTTTGCGTTCGAAATTTAGAAAATACTCGGATCTGCGATGGTTTTGGTTCTTAATTGATTCGCGCAGCAAAATATTCAGATACGGTCGTTAATTCAACTGGCAGCTTGGTCGCCTCCTCCCAGCTCCATTCGCCCACCATTAAAAAAAAAAAAGCTCCACTCGCCTGCGCCGGCATCGCAGCCCCCTCTCCGCCGGCGACTTCGCCCAGCGATTGCGCCGGCTACCCTTGACTCCCGTGAAACCCAGATCCGCTCAAAGGCACTTACTTTCCTCCACCGCATCGACCCGCCGGAAGAAAGGAGTGCGGCCGGCGACCTGAGCCTCCTCGCCCCGGCAGCGGCGAGCCTTCTTCCCCCCTCCCCCGATTCGAATGAGGTGAGCCTTTATCCTTCCTCTTCTCTCCTAATTTCTTCTTCACCTCTTTTCATCTCGCGGGAATAGACCCTAGGCAGCTAGGATTTCCCCCCTAATTCAACTCTACCTACATGTACTTACCCAGCTGAGGGGACTCCAATAGTCCGATAGATGATGGATGCTTCCGAGGAGATTTCCCCACGGTAAGAGCATCCAGTCTCCCCATCCCTTCAGATTGCTCCCCAATTTGTTTCATTTCCAGCAGTACTGTATTTCTTCAGTGTCCTGCAGTTTGTTTGATGCTGATGTTTTTATGCCATATTGGTGGAAGCAATCGGCCCATTGCATTGATGCTTTTGCTTTGTTCGCCGCTCCGATTTTCCAGGCTCCGTCCAGAGAAGAAACCGTGTGCCGATGGCGAATCGCAGCAGCATTCGCCGGCATCCATGGTGCCGGTATCCAAGGTGCTCGACGACGACAACCTCCTCATTGAGATCCTCCTGCGCGTCAGCTTCCCCACCACACTTGTATGCGCCGCCCTCGTCTGCAAGCGCTGGCTCTGCCATGCCTCTGACCCCAAGTTCCTCAGCCTTTTCCGCAAGCGCCACCCGCCTCGCCTCCTTGGCTTCTACATATATATAGGGTCGTCCTGGTTATGGTTGGGCGCCCCCCTGCTCTTCGTCCCGATGCAGCCCCAGCCCCCAGAGCTCGCCCCCTTCATCTGCCGGGTCGCGAGCCATAGCTTCGGCGCCGACAATGACAGATTATGCATCATGGATTGCCGGAATGGCAGCCTCTTAATCAGATGCCGCAGAGGAACTATATTGACACATGGAGTGCACCGCCCACTATGCCCCCAGAGAGACATTGATGTCATCCCACCACTCCCAAGAGCCCAGTACCACGGTCAAAAATTTTTCAATACAATCCTCTCCAAAGAAGAAGGCGGTGTCTTGTCCTACCTGTATATGTTGGCCGAATTTTTCAGCAAGCCAAAAATTTTCAGGGTGCGCGTGTATATGTTGCAAGGGGGCGTCTGGTGCATGCATGCCTCGGCCACGACACAGCTCCCTCGTCTGCTGACGTCACTGGAAGTCGTGCTTGTTGACGAGAAAATCTATATGGCTGACACCTTCAGTGATGAAATTATTGTCTTGGATATGACAACCTCGGGTTTCTCCACAATTCCGCTCCCACAAGGAGTGAATTTTCACTGTGTTCGCACCATCATGTCACGCGCCGGTGATGCTTCTGGTGTATATCTCACCCATATCCATGTCAAGGAGCTACAACTTTGCATCTGGCTCCACAAAGGGGACAACTGGTTGTTGGTTCATACAATTTGTTTGCATCAGATGTGGGATAATTTGAGGATGCTAGATCAGACCCTTGAGGATGAGCATATTAGTTTTACTTGTATAAGCAATGTGGGGGATAATGCTGAATTTGTGTTCTTGGAAATGTGTGGCTGCATTTTCTATCTGGATGTCACAAGCAAGACACTGCGTAAAGTGCATGGGGTGACAGTAAAGGATCGACCGTTCAATGATGTCTATCCTTTTATGATGATTTGGCCGCCCAAATTCCCCGCGCCCAAGGATGATCCTGCAAGGTTTGCTATTTTGGCCTTTAGATGGTCTGTATATTCCTTTTGTTGAGGTTACATAGTTTTGCAATATGCACTAGTTTGGTATAGCTGTGGTATGGTATTAGTATATGCTTGATTCTTTGGGCCATTTTAACAATACTAACTACGCGATATTAGATAATGCTTCCCTTAAGATGTCTTAAAATCACTTGTGCAATGGGCTAATATTGCGTGGTGTTTACGACCATACAAGGTATAGAACATGTATAGGAGCTTGACCTCTGTACTTCATTATCGTGAAATATTATCACAAACCAATCAAGCCTGGAATTTTAACTTCTCATTTCTTAAGTCATTATTTTTGCTGAACCTATGTATGTGATTGTCTTCACTGAAACTTATGCATGAGATTGTAATACTTGTTTTTTTTCGCTGAATGTTGCTTAGTATTTTTTTGCCTTGGACACAAATGGATGTACATTTTACACAACCAGGTATTGTTGAGGTTATACTACAAATGGCTAGTCCAAGCTAACGCTTGATAATTTGGGCTTGTGTGTCAGGCATTTTTCCTTGTATGATTAGATTTTTTGTTTTACTGAAATACAAACTATGAAATGGAAACATGTTGCTCTGCAAATATATATACCATTTAAGCTCTATTGGCTGTAGCTTTTGATAAACTAAAAAAAAAACCTATGTTGCTGGACAAAGTTAATTTTTTGATTTCTGAGTGTACATAACATTTGACTAACAAATGGTAATAAAATGTTCTGATGCTGAATTACCTCTACTACATCCTGATCCTTCCTCTGTTTCCTTGAACCAGAAATGCCATGTGAAGGAGGATGATATCAGGAAGTTTTTGGATGGTGAGCGACAAGGGTGAGCAGAGAACTGCATTTCCTTGGCTGCAGTTTCACTGTAACTCATAGTGTATTAGTTGAGATGATGTATAACTGGAGCAGGTAGTCCTATCCCTATGGTACCATGCCTACTTGTGACCAACATATTTGGTTTTGTGACGAAAACTCCCTGTATGCATGTTAATTAATAGTTATGTTTTCTGATCCACTTGGGTCATTCAGTCCGATCCACTTGGGTCATTCAGTCCGCTGCTTGCTCTTTTAGTTAGTTGTGGTGTTTGTAACTCTAATTTACCAGGCAAAATAAAACAAAAAACATCTCTTTGAGGCCAGTCTGTCTACTTTACATGGACGGCCATGGCGCTGGCTTCATCATTTTCACTGCAATATCAGTGGCTAGATGGATCATAGGTGTCCTGCTGAAGCTGAAACAAATGTACAGATCTAGTGCACATCATGTTCCAGTAATCCGTTGTGTGTCATTTTAGTGAGTGTTTTGCTATGTCAATTATTTTGTCTAGCATCAAGATCATTGATGCTGATACTGCTGCAGTAGAAAATTTGTCATGATTCCATATTATTTTATCATTCCATGCGGATACAGTGGTAACATAACTGGGGTCACTAACAGTTCTACATTGGCGCCGGCAATTGGCTGATATTATTAATTGAGCAAATTTGAGTGGGACTACACTCTGGATAAGGTCAATTAAGGATGATCTGCTCTTTGTAAATGACTGAGCTTGCCTCTTGCTCTGCCTCTCCGATTAAGCAGGTGAGAGTTCTCTGTTCTTCTTCCTTGTACGCCATGAATCATTGAACTATGATACCTTCAGTAGTTCTGTATGAGAGTGGTGCTAAGGCAATATTTTTGCAATGTTGCTGATGTTGCTCAGTAACCCCCATCCTGAATCCTTTTGTTTCAGCTTGGAACAGAAATGCCATGTAAAGAACAAGGACGTGAGGAAGTTCATGGTGAGCACATATTTCCTCTGTAGCTCGTAGCAGAAACTGTATTGTATTAGAGTTGAGAACCAACATTATCTGCGGATAATGTGCTTCCTAGGATTGTATCCTACCAGCTTTTGTATATCATTTCATCCGTCTAATTGTTCCAAGAAAATAGTCTTTAGATCCAACTAGTTAATGTAAATGATAATTGGTGATTTGGTCAACTTCATCTAGTGCGGCATTTTGACTGCCGGTACTTACTTTTGGATTTTCATTGTATTTTCTGAACATAATGTAATATATATCTAGTATTCAAGTGAGCTCATGCGTAATTGTATTAAAACATGGTGGTCTCCTTCATAAACTCCGCCACACCTGAAAATCATTTCTGCCTCCGTGGTTGCTCTACAGAGATGGCAATTAATTAATGCTAAGTCCATCCCAACTATTTGATTAATTAATTAATTAATTGCAATGAATATGCTTAATCTACTCACGCATATATGTTATTTTATGGTTTTCACAATCAAATATACTCCTCCTTTTGGTAGTAGTAGCTTTGGCCTGTTGGTGAAAGATGGGAATCCTCTTCTCTGAGCCACCAACTATCAAATTTCAAACTGAGATTGGTAGTAGTAGCCTCCCATGTCCATCAATTTTTGAACTTAAAACTGAGATTGGGATCGCAGTAAGTTGAAGCAACTAATGGAAGCTAAAATATGATCATGATCATTAGTAATTAGGCAAGTGATTGCACAATTGCGCATGGGCTAGACACAGATCAAGGACTCGAGGTGATCCTGGATGGACGCGGCTTGTCTGCCGTGAAGAAGGCACGGCAGAACTGCCGTGGAGCATAATCTCAGCCGTTCTTATCTCGTCAAGCTGATCCAACGAACAGCAAAACAACCCGTCTCTCTTCCCTTCTACTCTGTGAGTATTTCCATTTCCGAGCAACAGAGCTAACGCAGAAAGGAAAAACAGAGCATAGTCGAACGTCCGGCAACGCCGTGGCTGTCCGATGTTGCCGTGGCTGTCCGATGACGCACTGCCGCCGCCGTCGGACTTGTCACCGTCTCGTCGCTCTCGACGGCAAGGGAGCAAAACTGACGACCTCAAGCAGAACGCCGGCCTAAAGTTCAGACTATGAGCAAGCCTGAAACACACACAAAGAGAACCAGGAAGTACAAAACAAAGCCACCTTGGCTGCTACTAAACGCTCATCTCATTCCTTAATCAACACATAGTCAGAGATACAATTTTCAATCAACAAACGTCAAAGTGTTGATGCAAATTTTGCACTGGAGCATCACAGAGTCACAGACGGATTACTACGCCGTGTCCCAAAAGGCCAAATTGCAAATGCTTGTTTTAGAGGATTTCTAAATTTCTAAACACACAAATCCTGGAGCCACACCAAACACTTCTTAAAACTTCGTCTTAAAATCTTTGCATGATCAAAAGATATATTCGGCATCAATGTCTTCAATACTAGAAGCCTGCATTTTAAAGAACATTTGATATCTTAACACCAATGCATTATTGACTTTAGCAAAACTTGATATCTCAACACACGTGCACATGGAACATGCCGTCAATAGATCGGTGAAGCTTCGGAACCCAGAACCTCGGGAATTATTATTCTGATTTTGTGTATTTGTGCTCCCACTTTCTTGTTGCTGGGAACCCAACATTTAAGTAAGTCTCTTGTTTCAGAAAACTTCAACATTCAAGTAAGTCTCTTGTTGCATATAATAAAGAACATACCTTAGGTAACTCTTGTGCTTTCACAACTTCAGCTTGTTCTTTCTTCTTCTTCCCCTTGTGGAATTTGTCAAGCCAACTTAGTTTCTCTTTTTTGTTTTCTTCCGAGGATATTTTTTCTTTAGGCGCGCAGAAGCTAAATGTTCATTAGATTTCTTCTGCTATTACTTGTGTATCACATCCCTTATCAGGGTTACTTTCATTTCCAAGTTGCAGCTTGGCAGCAATAACCTTACCAACACTATCGAGCGCATCATCTAGTAAAACACAACATTCTTCAGATCTAGACGCTGGAGTGGCGAATTACCTCCCTTCGCCCCCCCCTCCCCCGCGTCGCCCTCCCCACGGGCGACTCGGGAGGCGACGCAGCCCTCAAGCGCTCCCTCCCCTCCTCCTCCCCCTCCCCCTGCCGCCGCCGGTGCTCCCCGCCGGGCAAAGCCCTGGTGGATCCGGCGGCGGCGGGACTTCGCTCCCAGGTGGCCTCCCCCCTCGAGCGTGGGGCTCGACGAGGCTGACGGAGCTGCGCTTCTCCGAACCTAGGGTTTCGCGACGGCGGCCCCAGATCCAGAGGGTCGGGCCTCTGGACTGGCGTGGCGAGCACGCGGGCGGCGCGGCGCGACCCTTTGGGGGCGCGGCTGTGGCTGCTTGGCTGTGTCTCGGCGGATCCGGGTGGCGGAGGCTGCGGGCCGGCGCGGCAGCGGCCATGGTCGGCGGCGGCAAGGTGCAGGTGGCTGGTCTCCGCGACGGCGCCACTAGCCCTGCTCGACGCGTCCCGTGTGATGGCTGGCCTTGTCTGGCAGCCATCCAGCAGCTGTTGCACTGCGCTGGCCGGTGCTTCCCTACATCGACAGTGACAATACGTGGTTTCCCTCTCGGTGCTGGTGGTCCTCTCTGGCGATCTGCTTCCCCATCTCCTGTTTGCTCTGCTTCGGCGGTTTTGGGGTTCTGGTCTTGGGCCGGGCGAAATCCCTGCGCGGCGTTGGCCTGCGCTGACAACGGCGACACCTGAGGGTGCCGTTACCTCCATGGAGGCGCTGTCATGGCCCAGACTGGACCCTCTCCTCGGGCACCGGGGGAAACCCTTGGTCCAGTTCCCTGGACAAGGCAGCGACGGCGTCTCAGCGCCGTTCCTTTCTTGAAAGCGCTGCTTGGGTCGCACTTGGAGTCCCCTATGCGTCAGCTGGAGATGGTGGCCTCCCCGGTCTTTCCGGCGAGGTTTGCTGGTAATGCGATGCTGTGATGAGGGCTGCAGCATGGAGCGTGGGCGTCCGGGGCGCAATGTACGCCGGCGCCGGCACGTCCAAGACGATGGCTTCGCTAGTTCTGGCTGGGTCCTGCCATCCACCTGCCGTCTCCTAGGCACATATGGGTGGAAGGTACGTTGGCCCGGTCAGCCCTGGAGATGCAGTCTTCTTCGGAGGCGCCTGGCAACGGCTGTGACGCGGCCTTGAGGCTCTTTGTCTAGCTACCTTGCCATTCATGGTTGGAGGCTGGACAAGGCTAGACCTTTCGTTGTTGCGGTCTGTAGTTGGTAGCACCTCCTCACCTGCTTGTCTGGTGAGGACGATGGTGTGTGTGCGTGTGTCCCTCCTCCCGGGAGGTTGTACCTGTACTGCTGTTCTCTTCCTGTTCAATGAAATGAAACGCAAACTCTTTTGCGTTTTCCCGAAAAAGACGCTGGAGTGGCCAAATTTACGAACTTGTGCGAGAGATATTTGTAGCGAAGAACAGCAGCCAACATTGGATTCTCAACAACATTTCGTCCACTTCTATCTTGAACAGTTCCAGACCGTGCTTCTCAAGTCCATCGCTTCAAAATATAATGCGCTGGTAGTAACTTAATGTTCATCAAATCAAGAATTCGAAGAGCATGCGCACATAATATCCCTATTCTCTCAAATTGTCCACAACTACAAAAAGCTGTTTGCTCCAATGGATTAGCAATGACTTTGCATTCCTCTTCAAAGGTTGGCGCTTCAAAAGGAGTACTAATAGTTACTGCAAATTCATACTCCACATTCAATTGTTTAGTGCAAGCTGCAATGGATCTCTCATATTCTTTTTGGAAACATTCAAATATGACCGGAGTGTAAACTTGGCTTGCTTGGACCAGCATGGGTGTTCTAATTTTGACCCTAGGTACTAGCTCCCTTGACTCATACTCCGAACTCAACTCAATGTCTCGTTTCCCTTGCACAACCCTTTCAAAATGCTTGAAAAAACGGATCACGTCAAGATCTGATTTCAAATGGTGCTTGAGGTCATTGTTCAAACTTTCACTTAGTTGTGTACTTCGCATCCCCAAGGTGAATGCATCCTTCATATAACATGCAGCCCACTTCTCTTTTACCTTATAAATGCTATTTGACCAAGTTTGTTTCTCTACTTTAGTTCTCATGGTGTGAAAAGCTTCCTCAAAACTTTCCAGCTCTTCGTACTCGAACACACAAGCACTAAAGTCTGCAAGAATATTTGATCCTTCCTTTTCCTTGTCCTCTTCGTTTTCTTTGTCCTTATCCTTGTCCTTGTCCTTGCGACAAGATAAATGTTTAACGGCATTTTGCATTATGTGAAAAGTGCATAGCCCATGTCGTGCTGCTGAAAACACACTCTCCACTGCATTTCCCATTGCAGTGTCTTGATCGGTATATATGGTCTTGGGCTGCTTCTGATTGTGTATTGACAGAAAAGTTTCAAAAAGCCATCTAAAAGATTCAAATGTTTCATCATACAGAAGACAAGCACCAAAAACAACAGTTTCTCTGAAATGATTGAACCCAACAAATACGCCAAACGGCTGATGCTCCTTGTTTGTTCCAAATGTGGTGTCAAAAGTTACAACGTCACCGAAATGAGCATAGTCAATTATCATTCTTGCATCAGCCCAGAATATATTTGTGATCTGTTCTTCACAATCATGTTGTATGTCATATTGAAATGATGGATTTTCTCGGATTTTATCCTGGAAATATTTCAAGATACTTCCTGCTTCACCATATTTTAGTTCCCTTTGGCGCTTAGTACGCAAGTATTTTTTGTGATCCCGTTGAATGTAGCCAAGGATGGATGATCCGCCAACTCGCCGGCAAGCTGATTCATGTGCAGCTTTTGGTCCAATACCTGAATCATCGGCAATTTCAATCTCAAACGCTTGAATTTCAGTTATCTTTCACTGTGAGGGCATGAGGCGGCATGTTTCTTGCAACTGCAACATGTGATTGTGTTCAAGAACAAGATCAAAAACTTTGTAATTACCATTTTCCCGATCTATTGTGAGACCCATACGAGCTTGGCAACCAGTCCTAATTTCTGCTCGAGGTTGCTTAATATGCTTATCTCTTTTGTCTTTTCCTCGACGACCCTCTTTACGACACACAAATCTGCATGAAGTGATTGTTCCATCAAATTTGCTCGGATTTGAGCACCTTTTCCTAACACCAAACCCAACTCTGCCACCATAATGCCCCCAAAAAATCCAAGCCTCATCCAAACTGCTAAACTTCATGCCAATGTGTGGTATCCAGCTTGGTACATCATTTCTGTAAAATAGCCAACACCAGACAATGGTTAGGAGATTGGACACAATTGTTTCGTCTAAAACATAAAGAGGATTATGTTGCTGTTGTTGTAATGCTTCTCACTTACCCAATTGAAGCAGAGGTCTGGTTTTCCTCGTCGATTTGTTGGTTCTCCATGCTACAGAAGCTCACTTGGGTGGATTGCACAAAATCAGCAGCGATTAAACAGAATTCAGAGTGATGTAGAAAAGATAAGAAGATGAGGGTGAAGGTGGACTGTGGCCGACGGCAAACAAGATCGTGGATTGTGTTTTACCTTCAAGAATATGGAGAGCGTGAGGGTTAATGGAGGGAGGCAGCGGCGTTCGGATGCTGTTGGCCACGGCAGCCCGCCGTCTTCCGAGTTGATCGCTGTTTGTAGCGACGACCCGCTGTCTTCAGCGATGATCGCCGGCGGCCACGGCGGCGCGCCAGTGGATGATCGTCTTCGTCTCTCCGCGCCCAGCCGAGAACCTGACTTTTGGCGCCAGAATACGAGCTGGCGGCTGCTTTTTGGCGCCAGCGAAAGAAAGAAAGGAGAGATTTGGCGTGCGCCCTGCGTGCGTACGTGGACGGGGCTGTTTTGCTGTTCGTTGGATCAGCTTGATGAGACAAGAACAGCTGAGATTATGCTCCACGGCAGTTCTGCCGTGCCTTCTTCACGGCAGACGAGACTAGAGCAGAAAACTTATTATTATTATTTTTTGCGGGGAGCAGAAAACTTATTTAGACCAAGTGTAGTTCTCTGGACCAGAAAATCCCATATCAAACAGAGCACAAAGCTGAACTTAAGCGGCATGTACGAATATAATTCACGTTAAGGCCTCCTTTGGTTTGTAGGAATTTCGTAGGAATGCTATAGGATAGAATTTGCAAAAGAAAATTTTCTTTGAAGCCCTTTGGTTTGTAGGAATGGATTCCTATTCCTGTGTAGGATAGGTGTAGCATAGGAATCAATTCTTCACATTTTGGAGGAAAAAAACATTAGCTGGGACTCAATGGAAAAATTCCTATCCTATGCATCAAATAACATCTCTTTATTGATAGGAATTGAGATGCATGTCATCTCACTTTCTATGGTTTTTCTATTCCTATAACATTTATATCCTATGAACGAACCAAAGGAGGCCTAACATAATTCCCCACACAGAAGACTGATTTACCTAGATTATCGTACATAAAACTAGTATAATATGGCTCCGAATCTCCTGCTGGCAATCACACCCGCACACACTAGGCGAAAACTAACCCTTGGCGCTACTTGAACACCCCCGAAGCTAGCTAGGATAACATAAGAACTACTGTAGCAAACTAGGTAGAGACCTGCACTTCCTTCGACGTTGTTTTCTCACATCTCAAACAGGTCTTGTCCTTAAACACTACCACTATAGCACTTTTATAATGGTGGTCGATGAAGTTCGCCGGCTTACCGTCCGGAAGGTGCTGTTGCCGGCGGCAGCAGAGAACGCACGGACGCGCCATCACATCCCCCACCGCGCGCGCCCTTCGTTCCTCCTCTCGAGCCGGTACGGCCCCCGCCTGTTGCGCCTCCCAAGAGCTTGCCATTACTGCCGGCGCCCTTGCCCTTGCCCCTTGCCGCCACCGGCGGTGGCCGCCATGTTCACGCTCAGCTTCTTGTTGTAGTCCTTCCCCATGAGCGGAGTACCACGCCACGCGCTCGATCTCGATCCGTGACTCTGCGTCCTTGTTGTTTCGATCGCTTGGTTTGGGGTGCGACATCCGCGGAGGCATGGATGCGGTTACCTATTAGGCCCCGCTTGGAATAGGGGTAAATCTATACACCCGTATTACTTTTACAAGTTTATATCACTAGGCATGTGTGATTTCCATCCGGAAATGAAAACGACACGTACATGGATCTAAGAAGACACGCACAGCCCCTCCGTTTTTGGTCTATATATAGTCAAGGTTTTGGTTACCGCATATTTCCGTACCCCTCAGTAAATCGTCATACCGAGTAAAAAATACCAGTTTTTTGAAATTTTTGAATTTAAACACTCGATTTACAGTAAAGTACGTAGGATCTAATTAATGCCATGAGAGTTGGTTCTCGCATGTTGGTAGCAACCTAGTTCCTGTTTTGAGAGGTCTCTGGTTCGAATATTCGTTCATTCACTTATTTGAATTCAAAATTCAACTATAAAATTTGTTCGAAATATTCTCGATATTTCTCGGTAACCGTGGTAACCACATTTACCCGGCCCCCTCGGTAAAATTGCCTCATTC